CTGACCTGCAGCACCTCGGCCCGCCCCCGCTCCGAGCCCGCGACCCCTGACTTCTGATTGGCTCCTTGAGAGAACCCCGCCGCCAATCAGCGCAGACGAAGGGAAGGCGAGGCCCCGCCCCGCGCTATCTAGAATAGTCAGGATGAGATTAGGCTTCTGATTAGCTCTCTGCAATCTGACCCCGCCTCCTCTCGGTGCTCACGTCAGTCAAAATCTGGATGCCTCTTCGCGTAACCGGGCTTCTTGTTTCTGATTGGCTCGTCGGTATCCTGCCCCGCCCCCCGGCGAGCAGCTCTGAGCTGGCTGCTTCCGGCTATGGAGTTGCCTGCGTGGTGTGCACAGTCCCGGTAGGAGGTTCCAAGGACCGTTTTTTCTAGGGATCGTCGGTGTCTGGGCGCGACTCGCACCCTTTCTCCTTCCTCCCCTTCCTGCGGGCAGCACGCACCCCGGAGGCCGCCTTCGGACCCACGTCCCCGGAGCTGCAGGTCCGATGGGAGGTCCCGGCGGTCGGGCTGCCTGCGTTCTGCACAGACCCAGCTCCCAGGATCGCGGGTGGAGCAATCCTGGTAGGTGTGCACACTCCGAGTGCCGATGGGGAGCTGCAGGGGGTGCGGGGCCTTGGCCAGACACACTGCACCCCGTTTCCTGCTCTCTTCCCACGCCACTGACTTCAGTACAACGGATGGGAAGGAGGCGGGGAGGGTTCCCAGGGGGCGGGTCAGTGGTTGGGTCAGAAGCTGTAGGATCGTCGGGTTCTCTCCCCGCGGGAAAGTGCGGGAACACGTGATTTTCAGGAGGCTGCGCGAATAGTTGGTAACCCTCGTTGTCCAGGGCAACCAGGCTCTGATGGACAGCTGGGTGCACTCCTGCAGCCCACACAGGACTTCCGAGGGGGGGATCTCGCCACCCGCCCACGCAGGCAGCTGGGGCCTTGTTTTTTGTGAATGCACAGCCCCCACCCCTCATGCTTTTATTATCAGCGTGTAGCGCCCTCGGTTATCTGCCGCCCCGATTGCCTCGGATGTGCCCCAAACCTCTGCTGAGGGCTGGCCTTTCCCGTTAGATTTGGTTCTTATCTCCAAGTAGCAGCTTCCCACAGCCCCAGTCTCAACACATCTCATCCCTTTGGGCTGTGAAACACCAGCTTTGATTCGGTTTTCTGTGGCCAGAATCTGACTCCTCTTGGCCTCATTAGGGCACCTGCATACCTGTCCCTCAGGCAGCTCATGAGTTCTCCCCCCTCACTATGTTCATTTTGTCCTATTCTTTTTTAAAATATATATTTTATTGATTTTTTACAGAGAGGAAGGGAGAGGGATAGTTAGAAACATCCATGAGAGAGAAACATCCATCAGCTGCCTCCTGCACACCCCCTACTGGGGATGTGCCCGCAGCCAAGGTACATGCCCTTGACCGGAATCGAACCTGGAACCCTTCAGTCCGCAGGCCGACGCTCTAGCCACTGAGCCAAACTGGTCAGGGCCCTATTGTTTTTTAACTGCCTCCTGCACGCCCCACTGTTTGAAGAGAAAATTCTAGATGCCACCCTATTTCTCTTTGTTAGGTGTTTCGTTTTCAATCACCACAAAATATTTTATTAGAAGAGTCAAACAGGTGATAATACAATTTTCTTTATTAAAAATAATTTACAGCATCAATAACATATACACAATTGTCATCAACTGAACTTTGCCTCCAATATATTTCTATACAATACTTAACATCATTGAACTTACAACTGCTACACTGTGTTGTTGGCTTAAGTGATTGACAATTGGTAGTTGCTGAAGGAGATAATGTGTTCACGGTCAGGTGCGTGTGAACTGTTGGGACATCGGCACTGTCACACTCTAGGAGAAGGCCCCCGAGGAAGCCCAAGTCCATCTCCCTCCCTCCCTCTTCGTTCCCCCAGCACCCAGCACACAGCATCTTAGTACCGTCTCCTCAACCCCAAGGCAAGAGAAAGGTGTCTCTTAATTCAACCGCAGAAAAACGTCAGTCAGCTCATTTCTCCCCGCGCAGGCGACGCACACGGTGACTGTGGAGGCAGTGGCCACGGCCCTGATCAGGCCCGAGCTGCACTTTCCCCTTCAGAGCCACTGGAGTGTGACCACCTGGCTACGGGGTTCCTTACACTTCCCTCAGGTGCCACCCGGACATCTGGAGACAAAACAGGAAATGCGACGGCCGTCGGCCTGGGAACCTTCGGCGTAACCATGGCAGCGCGGCGGCTGGATGCCATTCTCACTGATTGACTTTACAGGAGTAACACAACCCAAAGGCATGGAATATGGCAACGCTACGCAGCATCATGTGCTTTAACTACAACACTCATTTCTTCTCTTATGTAACCATGTGTCCTTTCCACAATATTTTTTAACACGTCGTTGCCCAGACAGAGCTAACAAAGGAGGGAAGTCAAACAAAAACCAGCAGAGGCCGCGTTTCTGCAAACACAGTGTTTGGCTGGAGGCAGAGCTGTAAGGTACACACTGGGACATACAGCAGTTTCCTCCCCGACTGATAACCACGCTCATCCAGCTTTTTGGTTCATTGTATAGAACCGAGAGATTAAGAGGCCCTCGATTCTGTTCCTGAAAGACGAGGTTTGCTTGTACTATTACTCGGCGAGGCAGATGGGAATTTCAGTGCTTAATTCATAGCTTGTTTTATGGTATTCATCTCCTGGGCCAGATGTTTATGCCGACACCCAGGCCTCTGCCACAAGCGATACATTATAACATCCTTAAAGCTGATACTAATGCCCGCCCCAGCCCAATCCGGAATTACCATTTCTTCAAATCCTATCACAGGCATTTCAACATTCAACTGGGAATTTCTCCATCCCTCACTCATATTTTCATGTAAATTAGGAACACGCATGCATGGACAAATACACAGAATAAAAGAATCAAGAACACCATTTGATCTGCAAGTACCACGTAACGTTTTTAAATAAAGGGAATTGTCAAGCTCCAGCCCGTCTAGCTGTCTGAGCGCGTGTCTGCAGGACTGACTGTGCGAAGGCCTCAGTGGTCTTCACCCACGGGGGTCCAGCTCCAGCACCTGAGTCAGGAACCCTGTTCTGTGCCGTGTGAACTGACGCTCAAGTGCAGCAACCGAATCAGGTCACACTGAAGACCGTATGTGAGAACATTTGCCATGTAAGTTAATTTCTTGATTTAAAAAGGGAAGTAGGACTTTATGAAATTCATTATCCAAACTTTTTCTTAAAAGCTGCCCCGCTTCTTGGAGACAGCACTCGAGGTGGGAGCAGGGAGCAGACGCATCCGGAGAGAACTCGGTGTTCTGGCCTGAGGGTCAGCTTTGGTTACAACAGAAACAGTGACACCACCCACAGATCATCCAAACCAAGTAAAACACGGATTCAAAATGACAGGAAATCAACCAAAGTCATTCACAAACAGCCAACACTCACAATGCCTCGGGCTGAGCACCCACATTCTGGTTGGTAGCCCCTCACCATCAGGTGCCGGGGGGTGACAGCACCACGTCAGGTGAGCAAGCCCCTCACCCCCCTCAGACGGGCCGGCCCCGTCCTCCCAGAGCTCGGCGTGAGTGCCTGACGTCAGGGCTGCACATGACCCCTCGTCGCCGTCGCGTGGCGGGGCCACTCTGTGTCCCGTCCC